GGCGACTACAACACGCCCTCAGCAAATTAATAGACTGTAAATATGTTAATGATGCAACTTGTGTGTGCTGGCTTTGAGCGGCATTTTTATGGATTCCGAATGGCTCAAAAGTCCTGATGAAAGGCAGCGAAAAGGTCCTGGGGCCCCTTTCTGGGCATTAATAATAATCACAGCAATAATGAGTGGCAATAAAAATATTAAATTCGCCACTAAATTCAAATGCTCGTCGCCGTCGCCAGATCCTATGGACCACTCTGACCTTGTCCAGTTATTTATTGTGTGTATTTCGCCTTGCCTAGTGCTAATTTAAATTTATTGTGCCCTAGCAATTTCCAAGTGGCCCCGCTATAAATTTCAAATGCTAAGCCGCCGCTCAAGCCGCAATCATTAATTATAATTCATTGGAGCTGGTTATGCAGTCCGGAGAAGTGCTCTCTCCATCTCCGGCCCAAACACTGGGCCCTTTGATGAAATGCGTAGAATGGACTCCCCAATCCCTACAACACTAAATCGATTATGTCCGACAGCAAAAGGGTCTATGCATCGCACACTAACTGGTGCACTTGCAGAAATCTCTAATGGGTAATGCACTTAAACTGTATTCCTAATAAAAAATTACATTTTGGTAAAATTAATTTACTTAAGTCCGGATAAATACCTAAAAAATGCAAATAAATTGATTGTCTTATTAATGTATAAATCGGTTTTAAAAGAGATTTTTATGATGATTATAGACGATGTTTATGTTTCTTAAATGTGAAATGTGAAATGTGTAATGTGATATGCAAATACAGAATTAAATAAAAATTAATGGTGATTGGATTTTAGTTTCAATTACAAAGGAAAGCTAGCATTTAATATGTGTACAAAATTCTCCCTTCTAAACCCATTTCCACAGTGTAACTTTCGATCGGACTGCAGTTCGTTTAACGAAGTTGTCGGCCAGCTGTCATTGGGACTCTAGTCCTGCGGTCCCGGCCACTGACGATGAGCGGCAACTTTTCATGGCTGGGCCGCTCCAAAAAATTACACATGTAAATTGCATGTGCAGACCGCAAAACGAGTTGTGCCATTTGGTTTGCGAATGTGTGTGTGTGTGTGCAGCCAAATAAGGTGTCAATAAATTGTGCTGCCAGGTCTTGCATTGCCTATTGCCTGATGTTGCCTGCGAGCGTTTAATTTGCAAGTGTCAAATGTCAATAGATTGCCGGGCCATGCTTGGCGCCGCATTAAAGTGCATTATTATGGCCAAGAGCTAGTGACAAGGATGTCGATGACAGCGCCGACTAAGCCCAAGCCAAACAATGCATAATGAAAATGAGAAGGATGGGGATGGCGATGAGGACCAGGACTAGGGCGATGGACCCACCCACCCACACATGCTGAAGCCCAATGACCTGACCCTTGGCATTCGCCTTGCCTAAACTGCTGCGCCAGATGCCGAAAACTTTAATTACAACGCACGACCCATCTAAATCTATTATTTGGCAACATTTGGGTGGCGGCGATTAAAAATTAATTTGACACCCTACGCTTGCATGTCAAGCTATGCGAGCGGCCCTGTCCGAAAGTTTTGCCGAGCGCTTAGCTTGCATAGTAATTAATGAATGCTGTGGGTGGGAAAGTCGGCGGGAAATCGGTGGGAAAATCGGTAGGAAAGTGGGCAAAACTGCAATGGCCATAATTAACGCGTTTCGTGTGCGACAAATGATGGTGCTCAAGGCTGTGGAGAGCGGGGCGAAGGGCTGTGTTTTAGCTCGCATTATTTTTAATGGCTCTGTGCGTGTTGTATTTGTAGCTCTTGTTGTTATTGCAATTAACTTGTTGCCCAACTCAACCAGCCGTTTGTTTCATGGCTGTTGGCCATTTCCATATAGTTCACTGAGGAAAAATGTGGTGAAGAAAGCTAGAAATCTCCCAACTACTGGATAAGGTAATGTGTTATGTATCCTTTTTGTAGATTCATCATCTGAAAATGTTCTTCTTTGTTATAGTTTATTGACGACGATGAAAAAATATTTATAACCGAAAACAGGTAACATTTTTAGTAAAGAGAACTAGTGAAGAAAATACGAACTTTTTGTTGAATTTCTCTCAATGCTTCTTACCATCTTGGACCGCGGTCCAAGACGGCGTGCGATTACTCCGGCTGCCTATTATCGTGTTATGCATTTTCGCGCCTTGGAGAGCGGTATTTGATTGCCGAGGGCGGAGGTTAATTTGAACGCTTCCCGTTGTGAAAGCCGTATGGTCATAAGTCTTTCAATTTGGCTTGGCACGTGATGGCCACTGAGCCAGCGAGCCACTAAGTCGTTGACATCCCTGCCACTCACGTGCATCGATACCCAGCTTACAGCTACTTAAGCTCGGAGCTTTCCCATCTCCCATCGCTGTCACGTGTGACCTCCGCTTCTGTCAGTTGTCGTCAAACTTATTTTTTGGCATTTCTGTTACTCAGGAATCGGATAACAAGCTGGCTTCATTGGATTAAAGTATTAGTCGGATCTTTTGACAGGCAATCGCAATGCATTCGACTTCAAATGGTCTGCTGAAATCATTAAACTATTCAAATATTATTTTGTTTCTCTTATTTTGAATACTCATTTTAGCTAGTCAAACAGCTGGGAGTCTCAGTTATAAGTATTAAAGAAGATAAGAACGTAGTTCCGTGCTCTTTGCGGGATGAAAAGGTTGAGCTTCAAATATCAGGTTATTCGTCACCATGCCAGTTAAGCATCTGCAAACGAAATGAACAAAGTTCAAAAGGGAAAATATGTCTTTATGCACTCTGAAAAATAGCTTATTTTGTTTGTTAATATAATGGTTTTTTGCATTTAGGATTAACAAACCAAATAATTTTTTTAAAATTTAATAATGTTAATCTAATTTATTTATCAGAAAATCTAAAATAACTTTATCAAATTATAGGATAAATATTTTATTTATAATATTCTTTTTCTTTACGGACAACTTCAGCACCGAAATATATTCTCTCCTCAAGAATAATTTTTCCCTTTGATTTAGTAAGCTATTGGTTTCGTTTAACTTTGTGATTTGATTTTCAATGTAAAAGTTCTCTCAGTGCATTTCTACGTAAATGAGAGATTTATGAAAAGATGTTCTGAGCTTTTGCAAACTAAAGCTAGAAGGTAGAACATTGCAACAGAAGCTCCTGAAAAGCGGATAACAAACTACAATGTTGTGGATTTTTTAGAAAGCCAAACAGATCTGCGGTTTATACAGGATTTATGTGTTATTACAACATTTTTTAAATGGGATTTTGACATTTTTGTGCATAAAGAGAGGTAGGAGAGTAATAAATAAAAGAAGGAAAAATTCGAAATGCATTTTAACCAGCTGTTGCCATATGGAATTGCATAATTGTCGCGCCTGATCGATGGGGCTCATAAATCGGCTGACTGGCAATGACCTAAAGCATATTTAATTATTTAATTAGCGCTATCTAAAGAGCGCATCTATAATTTTATGCATCGACAAGCATTAATGGCGTCATAATAAAATTAATATATGGCTGACGGACAGCTGCAAGCGAGCTGCATCCTCATAATTATATTCCGCATCCGCCCAGTTGATGTTGCTGCTGCTGCTGGTGATGTTGCCGCTGCAATTGCAATTTCTGTTGCAGTTGCATCGGGTCACGAGTTCCGCGAATGCGCTTGCATTGCTGATTGAGAGCCGAGCATAGAAATTGCTTTGATTTCATGGTTGATTGAAGTGCACGGCTCTGGAATAGGTTTGCCATTAGTACTTAGACAACGAATGTGAAAGAGGCCTTAGGAGACCTACAAAGTTGCTGCTTTGGCTTTCCAATTAGTTTAATACTTTGACATTCTAAACTGCCGCCTCATAAATTCCTTCTTTGATTTACTTTTGTTCTGATAGTTATTAAATAGCCAGGAATTACTCAATTTACCCAGCTCAACGTGTGGCAATAAAATAAACTCTATTCTGACACTTGCAACTTAAAGCAACAAGCAAAGAAACGAGGCAAGAGGAATGTTGCAGACAGGCTTTAATTTCATTTTGATTTATGGCTTTGCTTGAAAACCTACTTTTTCGTATTTAAATAAAAGAAGTTGTATTAGGCAGTGAAATTGGAAAATAATTTGATATGTTTTTGTACTTTTACGGATATGTTTTAAAAGCATATGCTACATATTTCTAAAAATATCCAAATATTAAAATGGTTTGGGATGCAATTAGGGTAATAAAGATTTTGTGGTTTATACTCGCACATATAGTAAGTGTTCTAGGGCAAACTAACCTTCTTTCAACTCATACATTCATTACTGAACTGTTTTCAATTTTCACTTTACAACCAAAACCAGGTGTGATTGAAAAATTTTAATAAATTTTCAGAAGTAACTTTGATTGATGCCGCCTTTCAGCGTGCAACTTCAAGGCAATTGAGTTATGTTCAGTATTTCAAATATTCCCCATTGTCTACGCGAATTTGCTGATGTCGGCGTGTCAAAAGAAACGCAAATTGGAATTGAATTTGACATTCTCATACTTTTTTTTGGTAAGGGCGATATTTGACTTTTATGACATGTTTCCCCCACACAATGAAGCCCTCGGCTCGTACACTCGTAATGTGTGCGTTTTGCAACGCCCACAGAAATAAAGTATTTGGATAGCAGAGCTTGACTGGGATCGCAATGAACCAGTTCGGCGTGTTGGGGATGACACTCGAAAATTGCAGGTCCCGGCCATATACAATCATTGCTTAATTTGTGTGTTTCTAGTTTTTAGTTCTCCATTTGGCAGTTGGCTATCAATTGCCGCTCTGCATGGGCTGTCATTTATTCATTTGGCTTGCGTGCTGCCAAATGGATTCGCAATTCGATTGCAAATGGCAGCCTGCAATTAGTGTGCGTTTTCTAATGACAGTCATCACGGCGCTGAATATTGAAATGGAGCCCCCGGCAATCTCATAAAAGCCCAATCCCAGCCCTCCGGCCATTCATTGTCGATCCAAAATGATCAAATACCTGGCCCTGCTGCTATTCCTATTTGGCTGTGCCGTTGCCCAGGAGCCAAGGCGCGATGCTGAGGTTTGTCCTGTTAAAGGGATGAGTTTTCGATTGTGGATTATTATTATTTTGGAATTGATTTTCAGTGGCCTCCGCCAGCGATTCTCAAACTGGCAAAGCACTTCCATGACATTTGTGCTCCCAAAACGGGAGTTACTGATGGTAAGTTATCCTTGGCAATAGTTCATTCTGATCTTTTAAGGCCTTTAAACTTTTTAACCTATAGAATCCATCAAGGAGTTCAGCGATGGCCAAATACACGAGGACGAGGCCCTCAAATGCTATATGAACTGCCTGTTCCACGAGCTCGAGGTGGTCGACGAAAATGGCGATGTCCACATGGAGAAGCTTTTCAACGCAATCCCAGGGGACAAGCTGAGGAACTTATTGATGGATGCTTCCAAGGGTTGTATGCATCCCGAGGGTGACACTCTGTGCCACAAGGCCTGGTGGTTCCATCAATGCTGGAAGAAGGCTGATCCCGTCCACTATTTCTTGGTCTAAAGTACTTTAAGGCAGATATTTTCAGGGTTTCTAAGCGGATTTAAGATCTATTTAATCTTTAAATAATATACAAAAATCAATATTGCAAACAAATATGTTAACGAGTCCTATGGAATTTATTTATAATTATTAGATGGTTGCAGGACTAATAAGGGAAAAGTTTCTGCCAACTTTTGTCCTTTTCCTTCTGAAAAATTCTATGAAAATTCCCTCAAACTAAAAGAAAAATGCATACTGCTACCTTCGAATAAAAGTGCTTTAAAAGAAGGAGTGTGCACAATAAAGTGTTCATTTCGAAAATGAGGAAAACTGTACGGGGATAAAAATTTGAGAAATAAATTGGCCGAGTTCGTTTACCGCCCAGCACTGTGGCTGGGAGGACTCAACTTAATTTACCTGTTGGTTGTTTAGATAAGGCAGCATCTGCTGCATCCATTCGAACAAGTTCAAGTGGATTTCCACTCAGGAAGAGTCCTCCGCTCCGATATTGAGCTACTTACAAAATCTGTCCGTCTAGCCTGGATGGACAACAAAAGCTCCAACTGGCCATTGTGGGGATTGCTCTACCTTGATTACTTTTGCAGCCTGGAACTTTCCGTTTTTGCATTTCTTTCGCTCCGTCTGCCTCGGAAGTTGATTTAGCCTGCAATGGTTTGACCCACAAAACATTTTTACACTTCGAAAAATGATTTGAAACTGGAGCACTTGATAATCAAGTTTGTTGATGGCTTAATGAAATGGTTAATAAGGGGTAAATTTAAAGATCTAGGATGATAAAAACTAACTTTTTAGTGCTTTTGTAAACTGTTAATACAATTTTTAAAAACATTCTTATAAAACCAGATATTTTCCGGCCATCACTTACACTTTTCTGGCTCTTACCACTACCATTCCGAGAGTACTGTAAAATTTTCTGTCTAATGATCGGAGACACGGCAGGGGGCGTGGCCCTCCAGTCGGGCCCTGCACTTATATGGGCGATGCCATTATAGAGACATTCGCCTCGAAATGAAGCGTCAATTGGGCCGATAACTGAGTGCGGCAGTCAGTTGTGGTCTTGTGAACTTGGCCAAAATCAATATAAAAGCCAAACGCTGCAAACGGCAATAAAGCAAATTCAATTGTGACTGCGGTTGTCAAACAATTCTTGCGTGCCGAGTGTGTGTGGGTATCGAGTATCGAGTTTTTGCCATAACTACTCCGGCTAAAATCGAACGGTAGGTGGAAGGACCATCTGCCAGTTGCCAGTTGCCAGGAAAAGGAAAAGGACCTGCTGGGGTTGCGAGGTTGGGAGAGAGGCCGAAGGTGGCCAGGACGAAAGCGTATGAGAGGTCGAAGGTTGCCCAAGCATAGGCAAACGACGCGTTGCAACACGAAAATTGAAATGGCAATTAAAAAACCATCCATCGTTCCTGCCGCACACAACTGCGATATACGTATACGTATATGTATATGTAGAATGTACACACATACATTGAACAAACCTCCATTCACTCTACAAAAATGTGCTGTTGCTGTAATTTCATTCGTCCTCCATTTCTGTGCGAGTTGAGGGGCGAATGTCGTTTTGTGGCTTTGTTTCGGTTGTTGCGTTGACATTTGATGAAACAAAAGTGACAGTTGTGCACAAGTTGAAGTCTTTGTTTTGTGTATTTCGGTTGTACAATTTCAAAAGAAGCGACCGAATGGGAAATTTTATATTTTGATACCCTGGCATCCGCTTGAAGAGTGGGTGGATCGGTGTTTGGCTTCAATTCCTAAAATAAACCAAAACCAAAGGGTTTGCTTGCTCCTAAATCGAGGAATTCTAACCATTCCTTTTCAACAGTAAGGGGCTGCAAAACACCCAAACAAACCTGTCCTTTAATCCAAGTCTTTGTTTTTGTGTAAAAAATCATTTAAAAAGGATAAAGAACGAAATGGAAACACAGAGAGTAATAATAGCTTTGTTTTTAAATATTTTCTATAATTTTATGATCATTAAAAGCGATATCAGTGCATTTCTTTACCTTTTTCAAATCAGCTATTTTCCACTTTCAAACCTCACTTAGCTTGTGAAAAATTTCCATTGCCGCCCATCATACATCATAAGGAATCCCTGAATCGTTGAATCCTCAGCTAGGCAATATATCACAGTCGACCTGAGCGAAGGATTCCAGGGAAGGGGCGGGAGCATAAAGTGGGCGGAGGAAGCGGAGTGGGCATGCCACGTGGCCATGTGTTTGTCAGACGGAACACGACAATTGTAGACTTGTGACGACTTCGCTGACGTCTCGGGCACAGTTCCGTTTCCGTTTTGGCGGTCGCTTTTTGTTCGGCCATCAGCGGTTGGAATTAATTTAGCGTGCGCTGAGCTGGCAAGAAACAAATGATTTTTTTTTTCGGTTTCTCATGGCTTACTAAAATATAAAATATAAAAATACAAGAACAAAAGTTGCGAAAAGGAAAGAAAAACGCTAGGGCTTAGAAAACACATTCTTACACTGATAATAAGTTTGCTGGCAAGTTCCCAGAAATCACTATCGTCCTGCAAGAATACATTTTTTGGACGAAGAACTGTGGCGGAGATCTTAGACTCCTTCAAAACATATTTTACATTTTTAGCGACTTTTGTAAAATAATATAAATAAAATACCTTAAGAAGTTCATTAACATTGTTGTTGGATTTCTTAAAATATAATTAAGTGAATGAAACACATTCAGAGAATGAAACCAACTCGACCAAAGAATTCTATTGTCAACTCTTAATGGGGCTTCCCCTCAGTGTACCCACATAGTTCCACAACCATTGTCATTGTCCAGCTGTCACGCGTGGCACATCGTCGTCAACAGCATCTGCATCCTTATCCTTATCCACATCCCTATCCTCATCCTTACTCGGATTCTCATTCTTGTCCTTCCGTCGCCTGCCCTCGTCCTGTGCCGTGTACTCTGCCATGCATCGCCGCTTTTGTTTCACGTTTCACGTTTCTCGTTTATTTTTTTGCAGGACTTGTTTTTGTTTTATTCAGAATTCGCAAACAAGGCCGAGTCAGGGAACAATTTTTGCCGTTTCACGAACGGAGCGGATAGCAGCGGAAAGGAGCGAACGGAAAGAGCCACATTAAAATGGCTTTGAATGGCTTTGGTCGGCGTGTCAGTGCGTCTGTCCTTTTAATCGCCTTGTCGCTGCTCAGCGGAGCGCTGATCCTGCCGCCGGCTGCGGCGCAGCGTGACGAGAACGTGGGTTAATGAAGTGCCCGGCCGCGCTGTTGCGCCTCCGTGCTCTCGCCCTGCCACGCCCACTTAAGCAACAATTTTTAATTGCAGTATCCACCGCCGAGCATCCTCAAAATGGCCAAGCCCTTCCACGATGCGTGTGTGGAGAAGACGGGCGTCTCCGAGGGTGAGTCCCAAATAGCAATGCTAATGGTCCTCGGCCGAAAGTGAGCCCATAATTGCAGCAATCGGGAGGCTAGCACTTAGTGCACCCTTAGCCATATGCTTAGTTTGCATCCATCTGGCATATATCGCTTAGTTTTTACAGAGACTAAATAATCCACAGAAATCTCTGGTGTTAAGTTCAATACCATCAAAGTTGAAGTAGGTGTCCCAGGGTGTAATACACATTGGAGTCATGTTTAATTTAAATGCAATTAATTAGAGATACCAACAATTCCAAGTTATTAATATCACTAGGACTTCTCTTGTGACTACTTTTAAATAATCTGAAAGACAATTAGGGTATTTTTGCATCTTAAACTAGATTGAAGATTACTGTTCGGTGGCGTATTTTTATACCAGTTACTCGTGGAGTAAAAGGGTATACTAGATTCGTTGAAAAGTATGTAACAGATAGATCGAACGTTTCCGACAACCCCCCCCCTCCCCCCCCAAACCCAAAAACCAAAATACAAAATCCGGGAACTAGTTAGAAAGTTACTTAAAATACGTATTTTAGGTACCACTGCAACTTCCCACGATTTTCATCCGGCTACCCCCCCCTCCACCACCCCCAAACCAAGAAAACTGTATAAATTATTAAAATGCTTTCGTTTGGCCTTTTATAATTTATTTCTAATAATTTTTCAAATCGGAACATTATTTCGCTATAACTTTCACCAAAATTAAAATAGTAACGCGTTTCCTCTTGTTAAAATTAAAGTTCATATACGAAATGCATATTAATATGTTGTCATATTCAGAAGTTCATTTAAATAGAAAACGAAGTACGATGCAAATACAAACAGTCAAAGGCCTCTTTCATATTAAACGTTGACTTTCACTTACTTTAGGAAGCGAAAGGTAAAGTGCCTTAAGGCCAAAAATTCTCAGAAGAAAATATAGTTTTTTTGTTACGGTCGTCTTTACACAGGAGGAGTCTAGTCCAGATTTTCCCATGAAACCAATTACCCCGAAGACGTTACAAAGCCTTAATGTCTTAAGCCTTAATAAAATATTATCGATTAAAATTCGTATAAATATTATTCAAACAATGTGACAATGTGTCTTACACGATTTTTATTTCATTTTACAGTCAAATTGAAAAGTTCAAAATATTCATGTTGAGCAAAATTAGTTTTATTTAAGTAAGCAATGCGGACTTAACTTTTATTTAATTAAGGAAAACCAAATCAAACGGTAATAAGTTTATTTATTTTCATTTAGATAGAATGTGAAATACGAATTTCATGATTACGGGATAAAAACTTATAAATTAAAGTCAATTAAAGAAAAAACACCTTTTTTTTAAGATCTCTGATAATACCGAATGAAAATTACAGCTGCCATCAAGGAGTTCAGTGACGGCGAGATTCACGAGGATGAGAAGCTCAAGTGCTACATGAACTGCTTCTTCCATGAGATCGAGGTGGTGGACGACAATGGAGACGTACATCTAGAGAAGCTCTTCGCCACGGTTCCGCTCTCGGTGCGGGACAAGCTGATGGAGATGTCGAAGGGCTGCGTCCATCCGGAGGGCGATACCCTGTGCCACAAGGCCTGGTGGTTCCACCAGTGCTGGAAGAAGGCCGACCCCAAGGTTGGAATTTGAATATCCCAGATTACCCAAGTCCTTTAATCCGACTCACCTTAATCCTTTGTTGCAGCACTACTTCTTGCCTTGAAAACCCGACCGAACCTGCTTTTCGATTCACCCGTTGCCGGCCCCGTGATATTTATATTTTAGGTTAGTTTTTCCTAGTTTTTCAATAGCTGTCGAGTAATAAACGTAGGCGAGTTGTGCATGCAAGTTAAGCTTTCAATTATTTGCCGACTGGCAAAAGGCAACTGCTCAATGCGCTGAAAAGTGTGCTGCAAAAAACCGGCTCTCACAAAGGACTACATATACATCCACTCACACATACACACATGTTCGCTTTTGACATAATTTATACGCATTGTGAAGGAGTGTACGCTTGTGTGCCTGCGACCGTGTGTAAATAAAATTATGCGTAAAACTTCGCCGAGCTTGTTGACGCCGACAAGCGTGTTACATTGCGCCATTTACATGGGAGCCGCTGTTTTGCGCTTTTTACTTTCAATTTTCTGTCAAAAGCGGGCAAGTTCTGTATGAAAAACATTTTAAATAAATGTTTAAGCTGGTCAGGGACTTTGGGAGTCATTAGTTGGGCTCTGCAAGTGGCAAAAAATTCCCCGGCGTTAATATCTTATTGGGCATCAATCACATTGCATCAGACAGCAAGTGAAGAGTGGTTTTCACCTTAGCAAAAACTTTAAATAAATAAAAGTAAATAATTACGACTAATTGACTGTGCGGATAACAACTATAACGAAAAACAGTATCTGTCAATTGCACAATTTATTCTTATATACTTAATAAAAATGTATACTAACTTTGGATGGGCAACTAACAAATAAATGCGAACTTACCAAGATCGGATTAGTAAAAATCAAACGCAATTGGTTCTTTGTTCGTGGGCAAAATATAAATGTGGTTTTAGTTTAATCCGCTTATGGAATTTATTGTATTTCATTCGAAGTTTTAGTATCATAAAAAGGATTTTGTAAAAATTTATTTAGTTATAACTTAAATGAAGTTTGTAACTTAAAGTTAATCTCCAAAAACTGTTAAAGCTGAGCATTTCCCTTGTGGCTTTCAACTTTGAACCATTCAAAATCCAATTTGATGTATTTTGCTCATATTTCTGCGGCTTTAAGTTTGGTTCTTCCTTCCGCTGGCCTCGTATTTCCATGGCCATTAATTCTAATTTTTTTTCAATTTAACATATATTTCATTGCTGTCGGTCAAATGTTCGCCGCCACCTTTAAACCGTCAGAGTTGGGTTTCCGAGCGGGTTTAGGGTGGCTCTTTGGTCGTTTTTTATTGTTTCGACGACTTGTTGCGCAAAGCTTTTCATTTCAGAGTCAATGATTTATGTTTTCACTTGCGCCCTCGCCCCCGCATAATGCTCTTTTTATTATTTATGCGTATTGGTTTCCATTTTTCTCTGCCGCCTGAGTGAAAAGTTTTCCTGAAAAAATGCGCTTAACTGCGCCAATGGTTTTCAGTATCGGTATCCGTATCAGCCCTCATCTCTGTAATTGTCGGAGGGAGCTTAAGAAAAGCGGAATCTTTTGTGCCCGGCCAGCTCATTATTGTCAGCTGGCGATTCTCAGTTGGCGTTGTCATCATTACATTTCACTTAATACTAATTTCTTTTCCTGTGGGGCTGCACTGCCCAAAAAGCTGTATGTCTTTTAATGATGTTAAATTGTTCTTTAATGGACTCAGGACAACATTATTTCTATTAGCTCTATTAATGGTTTCTTGAAAGGATATTGAATGTATTTGTTGGTCTTTTGGGTTTTATACGATTTTTATATAAGGAAGTTGCAGATAAATATGGTAAGTTATAAGATAAATCTTACTAACTTTAAGGTGCTTTCTAGAAAGGGCATATTTTAATGACATTGAAAAGAAACCATAAGATTTGTCCCACAATTTTCTCCCTGTGTAAGGGATCTTCTTTTTTGGGCCCACACATCTGCCGGACTAATTTGGTAAATTGAAAATTTTTTGACAGCCTTCAATGAAGTGTGGAAGACGACACTTTACGCTGTGCGGTTCATTGGCGACGGGATGGGTTCCAGGATCCGGACACTGGATTCTGGAGTCGGGAGCTGACCGGGGACCCTCAATGGATTTCCACACGAGCAGCTTGAGCCATTTAGGCAGCCAATTAGCTGCCCAAATGTTGGTTAATTTCCTGGGCGCCTGTTTTTGTTCCTAATGATACAATCATCTAATTGATTCGCCCTCCGAGCGATTCCACTGGCAGTGCACAATTTACCGCGAATTTGCAGGCTGACCTGTTTGGGTAAGCAGTCCATGCATTTGTAATTCGAAACTGACACAGTTGGCATAGTTCCTGGAATGCGATTGGATTGGCAACGGAAGGAGTCCGAGTCCGAGTCCGAGTCTGAGTTTTGGGCCACGTGGCGTTGACCGGGCGTACAATTAATGGAAGTTTAACTGTTCAATTGAAGCTGATTTTTTCGCCTTCCTCCGTTCCGGGGGTTCCTTTTATATATTTTTTGAAATGAGTACAAGCGGCCGTGTGCCCTGCCATTAGGGCACTTTGTTCATTTTTCATTTCGTTGGATTTTCCGCGCGTTGGCAAAGTTTTTTTTCCTTCGCTAAACGCTTCCCGCTGCCTTTGCACTTATTTTACGCTCTATTGTTCGTTTTGTTGGCCACGTCCCGAGCAGAGAGCCTCACTTTCTCGGCCCCGCTGACCGGTCCAGGCCCATTCATATTTTCCTGTGATTTTTTCTCAGTTTTTTCCCTTTTCTTTCCCTTGCCCTTTGCTCACAACTTATTCCTGTCGTTTCCCGGGCAAAAGTAATTCAAACGGAATTAAATTTTCGCATGCCTGTGTGTTCGCTTTCGCGAAAAATTCAGGTTAGTCGCAATGGCCGTATAATTAGCATATAACTCGACAATTGGCCACAGTTTTGTCTTGTCTTCGCCAGGGCTCGCAAGTGGCCGCCAGGTCTGGCAATGGGATTTGCATAAATTGACATTGAATGCAAATTTCTGTCACAACGCCAATGCAGCGGCGATCAAAATTGTTTTCGATGTAACGCAAAAAGTGGTGCTGGAAAGCTGGGGAAGCTAACGCGAAAATCGCCAAGCTAAGCGTTAACAAACAAAACTCGATAACGAAATAAGAGCGAGCATTTTCCCTCGATTTGTATAAAAAATCAAATTAGTGTGCCATCCAGAAATGCAGAGAAAGGTGCACTGTCAAAAATTTGAGATAAGAAGGAAAAGTTATTGAAATAATGAAAGAACCCTTTTGTAGATTTGAGAAATACTGAAAATTTGTTTAATTTAAATATAAAAATTTAACTAAATAGAGTTCCCACTCAAAAGTAGCTCACAGAATGTAACATTTTCATTTAAGATGAGTTTTTCTTTCAGTATCCATGAACAGAGACACATTCCCTCGGTCCTCGACAGCTGCAACAGCAGCAAAGTAACTGAATTGAGGCATTGAAAAAAAGGTAAGGTCAGGGGATCGGTTCGGTTCGGTACGGTGCAGTATAGTCACAAGGCCTGGAGCAATCAGCCTTCACTTGGCCAAAAAGCCAACCCTTGCCGCTCTTCCAACATCCGGCCATGTTGTGTAGTGGCCGCTATTGCGCCGATTTTTATTATGCTTTTATACATATCTTTTATTTTTTCGCTGTTATCGGATTTGCATGGCCGGTTAGTTGGGAAGCGAGAAGCCGAAAAATTGTTTAAAATCGAGCGGACGCTTGTTTTATGGCAGGCCACAAAAGATTTAGTTCAGAATAAAGCTCCATGGTTTCGAGTAATGATGATGGAAAAGATTTTCAAATTTTAGTCACAATTTTGTCATCAGAAAAACTAATTGGGGTTTACAGGAGGGAAAATCGTGAGATCCTACAGAGCGTTTCATGTATCAATTTGTGGAAAAAACATATTCTTTTTAGGACTTTTTAGACAGTTTTTATCTTTTGAACACAACTATTTGTGACAGAAATCTGTTGATATTTTTGAAGCTTTACTTGTCGAATCTGAATCTGAATTCCCAATTTTGGGAATAGTAAAATCGCTTATCCTTATTATTCATTATAAGTATTAATGTTAGGAAGTATCTTAAGCTTATTCAATAATCTTCATAGGGTATATTCACTTCGATCCATCCCATAATTAAGTCTTTCTTGTTTTTTACAGGACCTTCTACGGTTCATTTGCCTCACATTTTTCACTCGGCACAAGTAAATGTTAATAGCGTCACCATTGACTGACAAAACATTCGCAGAGTGAGAGAGCGGATGGTACTGGCAGCAATTGCGCTCACTTGCATCGTGTTGCAATTGCCAAATGGCCTTATGGTGCATTTAATAATTGCGCATACGCAACGTTGCCCCTTAAAGCGGGCCAGGCCAGCCTGGAAGTTGAAGTGGAAGACATTTTATTGCCCGACACACATATCGCGCAGAATAGGAATACAAAACAGGCTCTGGACTGTTAAGATTTCAAAACATGCATTCACCCGCAGGAACATATATACTTCAGCTTATCCTTTGTCTTTTGTTGCAGCATTGTTGCACTGGAGCAATGTGCAGTGTGCAATGTGCTCCGCATTGTGTCCACGTCAGCCCATGGCGATTCATCTGGCAGCACCACAAACGGCGGCCCTAGTCAAATTAACCTCCATAGTTTAATGTCTGTGTGCCCGACTTGTTACCGCCTGACATGGCAGTGTCAGCTCAACCCAATCCGAATGCAATGTATATCCCAGCGGCACGTTGATTATGTGTCTCCCTGGGGGTCTTCACCTTGCATTGGCGATGGATTCGTGAGTGGGTCGTGATTTTCGGGTTAAGATTTCTAAATAAAAACCTCATGCTTTGTATAAATAACTAAAATGCAATCATTTTGGTAAAAAAGAAATCTCGATTTTATTTTTATAGTCCTTTCAAATTCTTAATATTTATGCAGAACTTTGCATATCAAAAACATTTAATTCGAAACCCCAAAGCTGTTCTGCAAATGAAGTTATGTGATATTTATAGATAAATTAACTAGGAGTCCCCATCCCTAATCCTGCCACATGGCCTCCTTCTCCTGGACTTGTTGCAATCGTATGCAAATTGTGTTGAGCCTTCTGCCTGCTCTCATGTTCTATGTAAATAAGCCGACGGCCAAATGGAAAACAAGACGCAATCGTAAACCTGGCCAGACCATTAGGCCTC